AGACCTATACCTTACAATTTCTAGGTTTCCACCTTGAGGACAAAACAATTTTTTTAGACGGTTATTATTTGTTACAAATAAGTACGGAGGGAAGAGAGTTTTCATAAATTAAGATGAAATTAGTTAAGATTTATTATGATTAGAATTATAATTTATTTTAGTTAGATTTAATTTCGTTTGTATTTATCCTTTTATTATTTGTGTTTATCTTTTACCTATTATCAATAAGGAAATTAGGATTAGATTAGGATATTGGAAAGTACTTGATTAATTCAGCCATTTGGCTTCAGAATAGGAAGTTTTCTCCTTAGGCATTGTTGGGTGACAACAATTTATTTCATTTATTTATTGAATTTGAGTTAATTTATTTCGGACACCATTTACTCTTTAACATATGTCCACCCACCACCACATAACTAATCTCATCTCTGTTTAAATTTCTCATATCAAGTATATAGTACTGGGGCTATAAACAGTTGGATTAAATAAGACAAAATTGAATCTAAATTTGATTCAAAATTTTATAGAATTTATATATGTTAAACCATATGTAAATTCGATGGATAACTCGAAATTTGACAAGAAAATCTAATTCGACAAAAAAAATAATACTATTTTATATTCAAGTCCCTCAACTCTACTCTATCAATTATATTCATCTCTAAATTTTTTGATTTTCTCAATTTAATTTTCAGAACTTTAAATTTTTTAATATTAACTATATACTATTATTAATTTAATAAAAAATATTATTAAATTTAGATGCAAAGTCTTAACGGATTGGATTATTTAATTTTATATCCGATCTATTTATTTCAGATTACGTATATTTGTAATTTGATCAATCCATCAAATATTTTAATTGAATTAAAATTTGAAAATTCGGTTTGAAAATTCAAATCGAATTCATATTAAAATTCCACCAATTGATAGCTCTGTTTGGCACTTTGCAATAGGGTAAACAAATTTATATGTTAAAAAAGAAGGAATTGTGAAAGAAAAAACATAAAAACAATAATTTGAGGTTAAAACAAGAGAGGAATTGATGATTTATTTATTTCATTTTTTTTTATAAACAGAGAGCATAGATGCGTTTGATAATTCTAGATGTGGGTTTCAGATTGCTTTGGCTTTCAACACACCTGCCGTTTAACTCTAACCTCAAAAGTTAAACAATATGATCTGATATTTTAAAATTATATTAAATAATTTTATAGTTTCAAATGGATGTTTTTATGACACTGTAACAATATAAACTGTTATTATATCATAATAAATATCAAAGTAAAATAATTTCAAGAATTATTTTAAATTTCTTGGGTCGATCCTAATCCAAGTCATGCCCACAAAAAAAAGAAAAAAGCAAAAATTGTAGATAATTTGGGATCGACTTAACAAGCACCAATGAGCCTTAATTTTGACCATAGTGATAGGACCGAGGCAAAAATTGGCACGGGTGGATGCTTCTCCAAAAGACTTCTCAAGGGATATAATAGAAATGTAGCATGTAGGATTAGAAGAAAGAGAAGGCCTTGAATAAGAAAAATTCACCATGAGCAATTCCAAATGTAGAACTCATTTGAAAATTCCAAACTACCTTTCCCACCAAAAGAAAAAGAGAAAAGAAAATCTGAACATTGCTGTACCACATATCTTAATAAGATAAAATACATGATCTATAATTGGAATATTTATGATATCTAAAAAATAAGTGGAAAGGAATGTTACTATATTATTTTGGATATATTGCTGTATGACTTTATTAAGAAATTAAAATATAAAAATAACTAATATTGAAATCTATATATGTACGGTTTAAAGTAAAGTGAGATCAATACTTTACATGAATATGTACCTAATATATATCTGTGTATATACACGTATATATGTACATATGAATTTAATGTAAAAAAATTAAATCATATTATTTGTTCATAACAATTATTAAAATTAATTAATAGGAGCTTCACGATGTGATAAGTATATTCGTGAAAGGATTAACTTTTAATGTGAAAAAATTACATTACATTATTATATATAACAATTATTAAAATTAACAAATAATAGTTTCATGAAATGTTATATATATATATGTATATATATCCTCGTGAAAAGATTAAGTTTTAAAATATAAAAAATCCACGTCTTGAATAAAAGGTTTTTATCTTTTGGGTATTTATTCAAATTTCAACTGTTTCGTATATTTTGACACGCTTGAAATAAGGTGGATTAGACTGACAGCTGAGGATCTCCTCAACCGTTGACTTTTATTTCTCTGTGTCCATCAAGAAAAGCCTATATGCATACGTATTCAGACGATAAGAACAGTAAAATGTAACTGTCGGATGGCCAACGGAGTTTCCTTGTCGTCCAAGAAGATGACCGCTTTGCTTCCCATTGCTATCTTCTCACTGTACGGTAACCAACGCCCAAGCATGCTGGACGTGAACTAGTTCTTCGGGGAGTTCTCATGGTTGAAAATCAATAGCAAGAAGAAAAAAATAAAAGAAAAAAATTAAAGCACTGGGAGATGCCACGTCTGAGGAGTGGGATTGCTGAAGTTACACGTTTCTTGTCTCTCCAAGGAAAGATTTAACAAGCGTTGACTTCTCAAGAAACAATGCTTATTAATGTTTTACACCAATAGTGCGTTAACACTTCCAAAATATTTTAGAGTGTTGGGTAAATTTTTTTGAAAAATAAAATAAAAAATTAAATTTCTGATTATTTTCACACTTAATATGAGCAGTTTCGGAAAAATGGTTGGAAAATACTTCTCGTAATTATATTCGAACTTAAAATAACTTCAATTTTTATAAGAAAAATCTATATGTGAAAAGCACTTGTTTTGAAAGTTTATCCAAACGAATCCTTATGACTATGCTTGACAAGCGGTTCAAAATGCTGTGGGCGATCCTTGTTTACAGCTGGGTTTTAGCTAGTTTCTTTGCGAGCTGTTCCTCGTGAGGTTGGTTAAAGTTGATGCTTGGCGGGTTGGCTAAAGTTGTTCTGGGGTGGTTTATCTTTACATAGGTTGGGGAGGGGGCTTTTTGTTTGTGTCTCCTTATTTCTGTGGGCTGTTTTTGATTGGATTTCTGCATGCCTTGGATTATCTGTTTTTTATTTGGCTCATAAATAGTTTGAAGAAAAGAAAAGGTTTGCAGGGCTCTGTGATGACTTAGGTGTTAAACGATTGTGATATTTACTGTGTGCATATATATATATATATATATATGGGCATGTGGTTATTAACCATATAACATTTTTTAGAAAACTAATAAATAGTTCTTTTTTTCCTTTCTAAACTAATCCTTTCCAAATGCAAGTAAGAAAGAAGATAAAAATGTTAGTGGTATTTAGTTTTCTTAATTCCAAAAATTAATTTATAGAATAAGATACCAACTTTTTACACTTATAGCATGAAATATTCAACATTCTCTTTGTCCACGTATCGAGTCAATCACAAAATCCAGATTCACTAGGAAGACGTTATAATTTGAGATTTGATATCAATGTTTGGTAGTTTTGAACATTTTCAACTATAAAAATTAGCTAATAAGGTAAGATTTTTCTTTAAATTTATACGCAAACCACTTCTCCTTCCACTTCTAATATGAGCCAACAAAAAAATATTTAAATTCAAGTAGTTTTTGGTAAATAAAAGAATGAAATGTCAACTCTTATGGTTACAAGGGTTCAGAACTCTAAAAATGTAGTTGGATAGAATCATTTGCTGATAAACGGTTGGATAACTAAAAATTGAAAAGAAATCAAAACTGGTGACAATTATCTACTTTGTTTTTACCCAAATCAATGAGATTTGACGAAAATTGAACAAACCCGGTAAAGAATTACTATGCTATTCCTTTTTTTTTGGGCGTACGGTTTAACTAAACAAGAATGGAAAATCGCTCCCTTTTTTTTTTTTTACATTTTTCATTTTACACACAAAGAGTAATTAAGTTCCCTTACGCAAAAAAATTCTTGTCATCTTGAATTAGTTAGTAGGAGAGGGAATAAGAAGAAAAGGGCTCTTGTTTGGACCACGGACCTTTTCAACTCGTGCTTAGGTTAAATTCTCTCTCTCTCTCTCTCTCTCTCTCTCTCTCTTTCTCCATATATATATATGTGTGTGTGTGTGTGTTTCAGAGCCCCTGTTCCTTCCCAGAATTTTCTTTATTCAAACTGGAGAATATTTATCCCTGCAGATTCTTCTTCTTCTTCTTCTTATCCAGGCTTAATTGATGCGTATAAATAGATGACAGTTACCTAGACAACTTCAAATTCTTCTGCTTGCAAAAGGCCAGGCTTTCAATAGCATTACTTCGAGTAATCCGCATCGATCCTTAGATTTAACTCTCTGTTTGAGATCGTTATAGATGGAGAAAATTACGTCTTCTATTCCTCAAATCCGGGCCCCTATTTATGGCAACTTAATCACCATTCTCAGCATAGATGGAGGCGGTGTTAGGGGAATCATTCCTGCCACTATCCTTGCATACCTTGAATCTGAACTTCAGGTACAACCCTATTTTGATTCTTCTCCGTACGTTATCTATGCATGAATACAACGCGTGAGAGAGAGAGAGAAAGAGAGTGAAAGAGAGAGAGACGCAGCTCAGAGATAATCCATTGCTAGTTACTTTTATCAAGACCCTACCCATTTGTGACTGGAATGAGGAATAAACCAGAAATCTCATGTGGAGGGGCCTGATACTAAGTATCAAGTTTAATTGATGGGGTGATTATGTAATTTACAGAATTCAGAGGGCCAATCTTTGACTTTACGAGAAATTGACGAAAATACGAGATTAATGCATAATGTTCGAAGCCTCTTGGAGGGGCGGGGGGAGGCATGACCCCACCAGCCCCAAGGCTTCGTCTCTCGCAGGAATTACAGAGTCATGACGTGTCTCTATTTAGAATATTAAAATTTTATGTATTTAATAAAAAGAATAAAATCTATATCTTAAAATAGAACCATTGCGGTGCTTTCTGTAATGAGACAAGTAATCTGCTCCATCTTGAGAGTTAATTGAGTTTTTATTTTTTAATAATTGAGTTAAAACATTCCATAAAATACGTGAAAATTTTTTTTAAAAAAAACTCAAAATGGGTTCAAATAATTAAATATGATTAATCGGGTCGTAAAAATAAATGGTAATTGTTAGGAGCTGGATGGTGAGAATGCAAGGCTTGCAGATTACTTTGACGTGATAGCGGGGACAAGCACGGGCAGCCTTATGACCGCCATGTTAACTGCTCCGAACGAAAATAACCGACCTCTTTTTGCCGCGAAAGACATCAAGCCGTTCTATCTGGAGCACTGCCCTAAGATTTTTCCTCACAAGAGGTAATTAACTCGCTTATTCTTATCTTTACCGACTTCGTATCCTTGTTAACACTCAAACATGTGGTTTTGGTTAATGACGCAGAGGCGCGCTTGGATGGCTTGTAAAGAATCTGAAGTCGTTATTCGGGCCCAAGTACAATGGCAAATACCTTCATAAGATTATAAGGGAGGAACTTGGAGAGACGAGGTTGCACCAGACCTTGGCCCATGCTGTCATCCCTACTTTCGACATCAAACATTTGCACCCCACCATTTTCTCCACTTACGAGGTCTCTCTCTCTCTCTCCCTCTCCCCTTTACATAAGAATTTTTTCTTGCTGAGAAAGTATAACTGAACATGTATTTTATAAGCACGTAGGTGAAAAAGTCCCCGCTGTTGGATGCTCGATTATCCGATATATGCATCAGCACATCTGCAGCACCAACTTATCTTCCAGCCCACCACTTCATGAACCAAGACAGTAAAGGCAATATCGAGGAATTCAATCTCATCGACGGTGGTGTGGCTGCAAATAACCCGGTAAAAATTATTACTAAATTTGGATTAATACTAACTTGTGTGCTATTTTCCATGCATTGTTGCTTGAATCTAATCCTAAAGATTCATTAAATTGACTAACTCACAAATCTATTGACATCTTGGGGAGATTGTTTGTAGGCTCTGGTGGCAATAAGCCAAGTAACAAAACAGGTGTTCGATGAAAACCCAGATTTCTTCCCCATCAAGCCCATGGACTACGGCCGATTTCTGGTGATTTCAATTGGCACAGGCTCGGCTAAGGGGGAAAAGAAGTACAATGCTAAATGGCAGCCAAGTGGGGCGTGTTGGACTGGTTAATTCATGGACGTAGCACTCCAGTAGTAGATGTTTTCACTCAAGCAAGTGCTGATATGGTTGATTTTCATAATTCCGTCGTCTTCCAAGCTCTTCACTCCGAGGATAATTACCTTCGGATTCAAGTAAGCACACATGAACTCTAACTTTCTTCATTATCTACATAAAGGGTCTGTTTGGCTAAAAGCCTAAAAAGCTCATGAGTTGCTCTTTGAATCTTGGGGTGCTGCTGTATTAGTGACCTTAAACCCCATGTTCACGATTTCCTTCCTTCGAAAATCATAATAGTTGCAAAATTTAGTGGCAAATGACCCTAACCTTGTTTCATGTGTGGGTAAATTGAAATCAATGGCAGGAGGACAGGTTGAGCGGAACGGGCTCTTCCTTGGATATCTCCACAAAGGAAAACTTGGAGAAGCTTGTTAGTATTGGAGAGAAGTTGTTGAAGAAGCCGGTTTCGCGGGTGAATTTGGAAACTGGTTTGTCAGAGCCAGTTAAAAACGGTGGCACAAATGAGGAAGCTTTGAAAAGGTATTAAAAAGATAATTTTTTTAAAATTTTTTCAAATTCGTATTAATGTATGGTTAAATTAATTTCTCAAAATCATAATATTAAAAAAATAAAAATTGTAATTAGAGATATAAAGAGATAGGAAAGAGATATAAAAATTTAAATAATTCAACACAATTAGTCTAAATTCACATACAATAATAATTATAATTTTATATCTCTCTTTCCCAATCAACTAATATACATGTTACAGAAATATTTATCAACAGTTAAAAAGGTTAAAATAAAATTCATATTTATAATTATTCTCGTATTTTATTTCATACTCAATCCTATATTTAATATTACATATAATACCTCTTAAAATATTTTGTTAACAGTACTGAACATGTTCTTTCACGTCTCTTAACAGGTTTGCAAAATTACTACCAGATGAGAGGCGACTCCGCCAGTCAAAAGTGTCCAAACATCAAGGAGGGGGTTGACACGTCATTATTTGTAGGACCACAGGCTATGGTACAACTGTACTTAGTAGACTGTAACTTTGTGTTTTCATTTGCAGTCGTCATTTGTCAATTGTTGTAATTTATTTTGCTCTTTTAATTTCTTAATCATTTCTGTAACGGAAATGTAATAACTTTAAGCTTCATTTGTATTCATTTAATTGTTTAAATTGGGATTACAAGCAAAATTTGTGATGGTAAAAAGGCAAATAAACAGTGCACTTATTTACTTCGTCTGTCTATTTTTTTTTTTTAGTTAAACTGATTCAATTTAAGATTAGCCACCCTTTAGAAATACATCTGTCAAACTACAGGACCGCAAGGACTAAAATCCCTTTACAAATCAAAATATAGGATGATTCTTGTAAAAAATAGAAGGTATAATTAGGCTGCTTATGGTTTGTGAACCAACCCAAACTAAAATTGAATTGTTGATTTTAGTTCTAGAAAAATATGAACTGAGATCGGAACCTTGAAAACTAGTTTCGATTTCGGTTCATCACATTTTTTATCTGGTTCACGGTTCTAATTCATCATAGTTTTAGTTCCTATCCCAGTTTGGGCCAGTTCATGGTTCTGGGTTGGGTTACTTCATGATGGTTCATTCGCAATTCTAGTTCGTTTTCAATTCATTCATTGTTTCAGTTTTGATTTTAGTTCTGGTCCGTTCACAGTTTATTCTCAGTTCAATTGTAATTTGCTCCTAGTTCATTCATAGTTCCATTCAGTTTTAGTTCGATTTTACCGAAAAAAATTATATATTAACTTACAAATATTTTTGGGTTATTAAATATTTTTCAAGTATTATAAATATTTAATCTTATAAATAACTTTAAAATACTAAAAATAAAATGTTAAATGATTTAAACTTAATTATATATCAATTAAGTTACCTACGTATTCTTTTGGAGTTTAGAAAAATCAAAATTCACGTAATTCACTTACTTTAATTAATGTATTATCTTACCTTTTGGTGGAAGCATGCTCAAAAGGAAATTAAAAAAATAATATACTCATATTTATATTAGTTTTTTGATAATATGTTCCTAATCTAAATATTCTTATATTTATGCCCTTAAGCAACTCAAAAGTAATAACAATTAAATTACATGAATTAAGTATTTGTTAGAAATTGAAAAAAAGAAAAGAAGAAATATATTTACTTTTCATAATTAATAAATTTTAATTTTAACATCTATTTTTAATTTTTACAAACTAATATTTTCAAAGAAAAAAAGAAAAATGAAAGAAAAGAAATGATATTTGCCGATTTTTTATATTTTTGCTACCCATAATTAGAAACTATAGTTGATTAAGGAGTTGTTTATTTTCAAATAGTTTGAAAATTTTAATTTACTTTTAATTTATTTTAAATTAGAAAGAAATCCTTCTAAATAAATTTAAAGAATTTCATAGTTTACTTACGATCTGGTTCACAGTTTACTCACGGTTTATGGTTTATTCACAATTCACAGTTTGTTCATAGTTCACTGTTCATTCACAATTATAATTCATAGTTCAATGTTCAGAGTTCATTCACAGTTTCAATTCACATTTCAAACGTGGTTTGATTGACACAATTCTATTCGGTTTCATTTCATTGGTTCTAGTATGGTTCCAGTTTCGATTTCAGTTTAGGTTTTAAAAAATATGAATCTTAACTAAACCAATTACCTTTACGATTTAGAAATTGACTAGACCACAATTGCCGATCTAGTCCAATCTAGTTTGGTTCATTCTAGTTTGATTTTTTGTAGGTCCGGTCTGAGCTAGTTCATGGTTTAGATCGACCTCGTGGATAGGCCTACGTAAAATTAAGAGTACAAACCTTGTGTTGTTTTTAGGAGTGGGACTACCCCATTAACAATCTATATTAGGTTAATTTATAATTAATTTGTTTCAACTTAGTGATCTTTGGGTGAATTTGTTGATGACTTGAAAAATTATTTTTTAAACAAAGTTGTATTCAAAATTGTTAATGAACTGAATTTTAATTCGAGTCTAATGTGAATTTTAAAATTTTAAAATTTAAATTTAATTAAAATATTTTATGAATCTAATTTGACTATAAATATTTGTAATTTAAAATAACAGAACTAAATATAAAATTAAGTAATTTGATTCATTAAAAATTTGAATTCGTATTATAATAAATTTTAAATTAATAGTGTTGTATTTACGTGTGCACGCATTAAAATTCAAATTTGTAGGAACGAAGTTCAAAAAAATTAGAATGCAACAGAATTGAGAAAGTGTAAAAAAAAAAATTTTCTTGTCAAATTTTGGATTATTTATTATATTTGAATGTGAATTAACAGGAAAAAATCCTTCAAGATCTCGAATTGATTCGAATTTATTTAATTTAATATAAATTTGACTTGTTAAAAGCTCTTACTATACTTTTAGAAATGGGTTATCTTCAAACAAACATATTAAGTTTATTTTAATTATATGTGAAAAAAATTTTGAAATCTCACATGAAAGCTTGACAAGCATTTCAATTTAATTAATGTTATGGGCAATTCATATTTGCAGCTGGGTTTTAGATAGTTTTTTGGCCAGCGGTTTGGTCATGGTTGAGACACTACCAGAGGGCAAAACATAAACGAAAGAAAGCATAAGTTGAATTTAATTGTCCAAATTGATCTCAAGTCGATTGTTGATAAATGGAAATTACTAATACATCCACGATTAACATAGTGCAAAATATCCTTTTCCTTTGAATTGGATCTGCAGGCCGCGTTTCTTGACGAACAAAACTCATAATTTCCTCTCACCTTCACTTTCCATTTTTCTGAACTTTTGCCTCTGATGTTTTCTTTGTAGAAAGTTCTAAATATTATTGTACAGAAGAATTTGGGCCTTATGGTTGGTACTCAGCTTTTCAAAATCATTAACAGCTGGGAACCACCGAGCCTAGCGACCTTTCCAAGAAGGCAAACTTTCAACTTATTTTAAGCTGTTCAAGTTATATAATTCTTGTTTTTCTCCTACTTCTTCTTTCCAGAAGGACTCGAATGGTTTATTGAATTATGTTACATAATTAAGTGGACTCAGCATGGGGAGATCAACTCAAACAGCACGATTAAAAACTTGGTCGAATGTTTAGTGAAATACTTTCAACTTCTCCCACTTTGGAGAGTAGATTGTGAAGATCAACAGCCTTGTCCAATAAAAATGAACAGGTTTCAGTAGATGCTATTTTCTCTTCTTGGGTGGGAAACAAGTAGCTTTCATGCTTTTGGCAAATACTATAAGTATTTGAACGAGCCGCATGTTTTCATTGGTTACATACAAACAAACTAAAACAACTTGCAATTCGGAAGGACGACGTATATTTTAAAGGAATGGATAAGGGAAAACAACCACTATATTAGATGATCAATTTAATCTAGTTTTCAAGGTTGACTTGAATTGATTTATTAAATTAAGTGCATTAGTTAGTCACATGAACTTTCCGACCTTTCCATTTAAGGTGAGAATAATTCAACTTGGTATTATCTAACTAATTAATTATTGTTGAATAACAAAAACGATGTGCCAAATGTCTTTAATTAATTATTGTTGAATAACAAAAACACGTGTCAAATGTCTTTAATTATCACACATTAGAGGGAAATATCATTTTACCACCATATTTTTTTCATTAGATCCTCCAAGCTAGAGAGAGATCAACTGCTTATCAAATAAATTAAAATTTTATGGAATCGTCATTGTCTTATTTAATTATAATAATTAGGCATTGTGCATTGCATCTAGTAACCTAATTAAGTCGTTGTGGCATGTCTTTTAAGATCCTTCAAGGTTCATCTCTTCGTGGCGTGGCATACCTTGAGTAGGAGAATTGACAAAAACTTCAGAACCTGATGAGATTAAATACATCATTTCTAAAATATTAATCCTTAAAGAAATGGTCATTATAACATATGGTTATAACACACATGGAAAACTAACGCGTGCATTGTTTTATTGGGTAAAGACAGCGTCTTTTCTTGCAATGTATATCCAATTAAGAATTAATTAACTCCTACCGTTTACAACCCTCCAATATTTAGTAGCCAAGGGTAGCGGGCTGGCTGCTAGTATAAATCTGCAAAGCCAATCCTCCCTAAGAGACCAAAAGATTCATACACAGTTGAAGCAAAATCAAACACGGGGGCTGCCAACCATCTTTTTGTGAAGATTGACATAAGCTAGCACATCATTTTATATCCCACTTGAATCCCATGACAAATCTCTAATTTCCCCAATTTGAGAAATGGGATTTTCAAAAATCTATTAGTTAGTGCTGAATATTTTAAAAGTGTTGAATATTAGTTAGAGACAGTGAGTAAAAATCTAAAAATACTGTAAGATAGAAAAGAGTATTTTAATTTCATACTTTCTCACACAAATTCTTGTAAGCATTTGAATGTAGGAGGATAAGTTGCTAGCACATTTGAGAAAAACAAAATTCCGAAAACAGAAATAAGTATTATTCCGAGAATCATCATCAAACTGTTTTCAAAGATAAGCCCCATGCATGTCTTTCCAAAACAACTTCAATCATGATCATCTTTTGTTTATTTTGACTGTTGTATTTCTTTTCATTTGCATTTTCTGCTTTTTTGAACTCCTTAACAACTTGTGTGAAACCCTTTTAGGATTATCAATTTTCTTTTTGGTATACCAAAAACATAACTTTGGGGAAGTAAAAACTTCATATACCACTTTGTCTAAGTTTTAAATTTTGTTTTATCAATTTCGTGCCCTATAGGTGTTGTTGAAACACCTCGGAGACTTGTCTCTTGTTTTTTGGAAATATTTTCTGGATATTATTTTAAATTAATCACATCTGGCTTTTCAAAAGAACCAAAAGTACCCTTCATTTATAACAGTTATTTTGACGTGACAAAGGCATACAAGTTTCTGACGGTAGTCTGTGGGAGGTGATCGTGGCGACAAAGGCATACAAGTTTCTGACTGTAGTAGTAGTCTATGGGAGGTGATCATGGCAATCTTGGCTCCAATCAGATCCCATGTCACAGGTAACCAGGATTCCTCACGCAAGAAAATTCTTACCATATTAAATAAATAAATTAGAAGGAACAAAAAGGTGACATTTTCAGCTCCACCCATTAAATTAAATTTAGCGGTGGGTGGTTCCGGTCTCCTACAGTTCCTCGTGCAGCGGCTCAGACTTGACCAATTCCCTCACCCTCCACCCGACCCAAAAAATAAAACTAAAAGATTGACATGACTTTGAGAATTTACAGTTCCTTCTTCAAGTTATTGTAAAATATGCAGAGGATAAGGTAAGTATTAGCGAGAGTGAAGATTGTTTGAGCCGCTAAGGTCTATAAATAGGCAACCAGTTAAGAAAATCTAGTAGCAAAACAAGCTTACAAATAGCGCTCGTGTATAGTTTTGAGAGTCTAATTCTTAATACGTTGAAAAGAGAAAGCACTTTTTGTTGCTTCAATGGAGAAAGTACCGTCTTGTCCTCGCATTCAGCCCCCAAATTGCGGTAAAATGATCACCATTCTTAGTATTGATGGGGGTGGCATTCGAGGGGTCATTCCTGCCGCTATCCTCACTTTCCTCGAGTCCCAACTTCAGGTATTACTTCAACTCTCTCTCTCTCTCTCTCTCTCTCTCTCTATATATATATATATATAGGCACTATGTGAACTATCACAGAGAGACGGAGGGAAAGAGGGAAGAGAGAGAGAGAGACTGTCAATCTTCTTCATGGTTCAATTATTAGATAACTAAAATTACAATAATATGCTTTGAATTTGATAATTAATCTATGAATTCATTTTTAAACCATCTAAATTTAAAGCATTTTGGGTGGACAGGTAAATTGTTTAAACCCACGGTTATTATTATTTATAACTGTTAATGAATTAGATTTGAGCTGAATTATAGTAAATTTAGATCTGAATCTGATAATAGTATGTTATATTTGAATTTAATCATAAATCTTAAAAAATATGTATTTAGTGCTATAATATCCAAATGCGGATAAAATTCGATATTCAAAATAAGAATCTAAATCTAAATTGTTGAATTATCATTCCTTTATTTTTTTACATTTTAGAAAAAATAATTTAAGACCAAAATAATAAATTCTTAAAATATATGAACTAATAAATTATAGAGTTTAAAAATATAATATAATTGCATTTTATCTACTCCAAATATTATATTTGAGATTAGTTTACTAGTAATACATAACAATTATATTTAATCTATCAATTTACATATTTCTCAATTACAATTTTATAAAAAATATAAATATGTTTCTAATTTCTATTTTTTAGGAACAATAATTTATTAACTAAAGTTGAATAAATCAAGTCTATAACGAGATATATATGTATATATATATATATAATATTATTTATCATATACATAATATGAATATAATTTACTTACACATATACATACTTGCACATATACATATATATATATATATATATTCAAATTTAAATTTTTAATTGAACGAATAGGATAAAATTTATATTTACTCTATTTATTTTTTATTATAAATTTTTATAATTGAATTAGATTCAGATTACAATCTTCTTCATTTAGATTCCTAGTATTGTTATTACAATTGCAAATGATGACCGGCCGTTTGAGAAATTATTATGTGGGAAGGGTTTAGGCTTTATTCTGTCATATTTGGGCCTTAAGGAGGAACTTGGAAAGAAATTATATGTTCTAAACATATGAATGGATATGTGTGAACATGCACGTTAATTGTTAAATAATGAAATTAACAGCGCAAATTTGGATTAAGCAGGAGCTGGATGGTGAAGACGCAAGACTTGCGGATTACTTCGACGTTATTGCGGGAACAAGCACGGGTGGTCTCATAACTGCGATGTTGGCTGCCCCCAATGAAAACAACCGTCCTCTCTTTGCAGCCAAGGACATTAACCATTTTTATCTCCAGCATGGCCCTAAGATCTTCCCTCAAAAAGGGTACATTATTAGCATTATCTTTAGCTTCCATTCATGAGCTTTTTATTTTTTAAAATTAAGTCCTTAAACTATGAAAATTATTCTAATATGATCTCATAGCTCAATTGCCATCCAAAAGGCTAATGGCTATTTAATCTTCCAACTTTCATTTTTGATGCACCTTCCTCAAATATATATGACTTATCTTAGTAATAAATAACTAGATTTTATCAGAAGTATATTCAGTTAAAAATAGTAACATCATCTTAGAATTATTCTTGTAATTTGTAGGTTAAATTTTAAAAATTAAAGGTTTTGTCAAAAAAAAAAAATATTTCCAGAGCTTTTAATTAATTAATTAATTAATTGGTTAGTTAGAATTATAATCATTGCAGACCAGAATGGCTAATGAACACTTTTGGTTGAACAATGGCAGGAGTGTATTTCGATCAATCAGAAATACGTTGGCCCTGTTAATGGGACCCAAGTACAGTGGAAAATATCTTAATGGGGTCATAAGGGAGAAGCTTGGGGAGACGCGGTTGCATCAGACCTTGACCAATGTTGTCATCCCCACCTTCGATATCAAGAACTTGCAGCCCACCATTTTTACCAATTACGAGGTCTCTCTCTCTCTCTCTCTCTCTCTCTCAAATTTCTAGACTCCAAACTTCTTAAAGTTGACTTGCAACCTTCTTTTAGCACAGCACAAAATAATTAACAAGGTCATTAGAAATTAATATAGTTTATTATTTGGTCGTCATGTGTTGACCTGATCATAAGGAAACAAATTAATATAATATGTTGACAGCCGTCAAAGCCTAAACATCAGAGGAAGACCCAACAGGCGCCCAGAAAATGGTAAACTGCCAAGTTTTGTGAAGACTAGGATGAGCCAGCCAGCTAAAGTCCAAGCTGGAAAAAATCAAAAAATTATTTTAACAAGACGTGGCTTATCTCTACTCCTAGATTTTTTATGCTGGCTAAGGGAATGTTCATTATTATAGGCTTTTGGACTTCTATGTTCTATTGGCTTAATTATATATGCATTGACTGTCGACCTTTTTGTTAGACTCAAAAACTAATTACCCACTTTTAGAAATGTGCATTATGAAACACCCTTAAAGCTTTTAAAGTCGTAATCCAATTACACTTGAAATTGTACAGAGCAGTTTTTTGACATATACCAAACAAGATATAACAATAACTTTAAACCTTTTTGCTACCCTTCGAGTTCCGAATTATATGCTGATACCTCTCATTAAGCTCGGGAAAAAATGAAAAAAGATGACTCTTGTTGATTTCACAATATTAACCTGCGCAGTCAATAAGGTGGCCATAATTGTATGTTTAAGTTGTTTCCTACCTCATGGCAGGTGCAAAAATCAAAATACTTGGATGCCCTTCTATCTGATATCTGCATCAGCACATCCGCTGCTCCAACCTATCTTCCAGCCCACTACTTCACCAACCAGGACGATGATGGAAATGTTAGAGAATTCAACCTCATTGATGGTGGTGTTGCTGCAAATAACCCGGTGCGATTATTGCTTAATCCAATTTTTAAGACAATAAAAAACCCAGATCACTACAAACCAAAGTTAACGGATCATTGAACTGAACTTAATAGATTTCTGCTTTTTAAATCCTTATATTCTACATGATTAATTCCTGTAGGCTTTGGTTGCAATAAGCCAAGTGACCAAGAAGATATTTGAGCAAGACCCAGACTTCTTCCCCATCAAGGCCATGGACTATGGTCGATTTTTGGTGATATCAATAGGCACTGGCTCTGCAAAGGTGGAGAAGAATTACAACGCAAAAATGGCAGCCAAATGGGGAGTCTTGGGTTGGTTGATTCATGGAGGCTCCACCCCACTAGTTGATGTGTTTACTCAAGCAAGTGCTGATATGGTTGATTTTCACAACTCCGTTTTTTTCCAAGCTCTTCATTCCGAAAACAATTACCTTCGAATCCAGGTTTAATTCCGTTCGAATTCTATGCATTTAAATTTCTAAAAAGAAAAAACAAGAAGGGTTTCTAGAGAGATTTCTTACCCTTCATCAACCTTATACTCAACAATTAATTTCAGGAAGATACGTTGAGTGGGAAGGATGCTTCGGTTGATGTGTCCACCAAGGAGAACTTGGAAAAGCTGGTTGAAATCGGAGAGAGGTTGTTGAAGAAGCCGGTTTCGAGGGTGAACTTGGAGATGGGCCTCTTCGAGCCAATTGAAGACAGTGGCACGAATGAAGATGCTTTGAAAAGGTATGGATGCTGTTTTCAGGATACTGAAGTGCTTAATTCTTTTGTGAGAAAAATGCCTGGAAAAATTAATTTCTGGTTTATGGATGTCAGGTTTGCAAAACTGCTTTCGGATGAAAGGAAGCTTCGAGAGCTGAAATCGCCACTCACCAAGAATGGCTAGCTGGAAGAATTACTAGTGCATTAATCCTTTCTAGTCCTATTCATCTAAATACGCTTATTGTTATTTGATTTATTAAATAATTTTACCTGTTGATCTCCAGCTTTTGTCCCCTTATTTGTACTCTAATGTTTTAAATTTCTTGTTTATATGTGTAATTTCTGATTACAACTTGATATTGTATCTTGATTTATTATTGATTTTCATTTTATGAAATTAACAGTGCAAAATTCGTGATTTTTTGGGACGTCTTCACCAATTTTTTTCTTTAAAAAAGAAAATATGTGTATCATTACTATTATGTAAATTCGTCTGTATTTGATATTGCATCCTGACAAAAACGAAACCTGCCCAACTAAAACAAAACCCCCAGCACATGAAGGCAAGAACCCAAGAGCGAAAGCTTTACAACCAAAACGAAACCCTACCAGGACCCTACCTGTACAGAAACCTAAAAGATGGGTTATACGTACAGTAGCCCACAAGAACACCCACCGAGTCCCTGAAATTGGCCAAAAATTGGGCATAAAGTCGGACAATAGAAACAAATGCTGGAGGAAAGAGGGACTACCTGCCCATCAACCCAGAAGCTGACAAACAACCTAGCACAAATACCCATCAAAAACAGAGGATCGGCCAAGACAAAAAACAACCAACCAAAACAGTGAATACAAAAAAGACTAGTGTGACGGTTGCCAAACAAGAGGAGAGCAAACCATCATGTAGCCGCATTTCTGAGAAACAGGCCTCTGTTCAAACTAAAGAACATCGAGGCCAAGATCCACAAAACTACCCCCAGAAGGGGCTGACGATCGATCATCGAGAGCAAAACGCTGAGATGAGGTGGAGACACCAATCCAAAACTGAAGAGACGGCCTCCCCTCACTGCCACCAAAACTATAGACAATGGTGGTCAAATCCGTAGGGAAAAAAAATACTTAGTAGAAAAGTCAGTTATAATAGAAATATTGAATGACCAAATAAATCATGTTCAAAATTTTAAGACAATTTTTTATGAATTTTAGATATTTGTTGATTAATATTTTAAATTTAATTTTATCCCGATCATTCTCTGAATTTTAGATATTTGTTGATTAATTTTTTTTATAATATTTGCTAAATTATTAGTTGGGGGATAACTTTGGACCACACCGGCAAATCAGTAGAATATAAAGAAAAGTTAAAGACTAAATGTCACACTTAGCCTACCTCGCCATTTGGTAAGGCACAACAGTAGGGGCAATAGCCAACACCTATTGGTGCTGAAAATCTAGCAGCATATCAACTGTTGTGACCCCTTCTTTCTAAACTTAACCTGTATCCCTATAACCATACTAGTAATAGAATCCTAGAACTACAAACTTAGTGCATTTAAACAATCCAGCATATATATATTCCACACCTAAAACCTAAGCATGCCATCAAATGTAGCCCCCCCCCCCCCACACACACACGCATGCATACACACTACTATCTTTACTTGCAGATTAAAATTCATGTACAAAACCCCATCATATATTGTATCTTTGAGCTACAACTCCCTCACTAATATTATGACTGAACAAGTGTAATATAACATAACCTTCAAAAAAAACTCTTGCTGGTCCACCTCGACTAATGTAATGTGTAAGTGCTGAACAATGGTGGTGAATTGCTAATGATAGTCTAGAATTGCAAAATAAAGAATGGTATGAGAATGAGTCATAGTGAATAACACATAAATTAAACTTAACAGAAGTATTGTAGTTTATTATAATTTTTTTTATTTACATATATAAATGCACCATCTAAGAAATTGGGCAATTTGTAAATCAGGAGCCAAATATCATAGCAAGTGCTTTGCATTATCTGAACATAAAACTTATAAAATTCAAGAATCGTAGAAACCAAGGTTTTTGAGTTATGTGGCACTTTATAACATACTCCAGACTGAGGTGGTAATACATGAAAGAATCACAGAAATCAAGATCATAGGCTATATAGCAAGCAGTCTAATAGAATGTGCACAAGTTACAATATTATCTTTGAGGGCAATAAAATATAAGATTATAAAATTATGAAAAATGTCGGACGTTATTACATTGTATAGTCTGCACTTTGGGTTACCATTTTAGGTGAGGCTAACATAGGTTGTAAGACTCCCACTTGACCTAAATGGTTGTTTGGCATTCAAGTCTGAATGCCAAAGCACCAAAACCTCAAAATCTCATTCAATATCACATATGCATTGGAAAATAGAATATAAGCGCTCTGTTTCTAATTTAAAACAAGTTCTATTCATCGTAGAGCATGCATTTTTAATTTAAAAATCTAAGTTTAAAAGATATGTCCCTTACCGTAAGTCCAGCTCTACTGGTGACTACTGGAATCTATCCGGCTGGTATCGAGCTTGGCACGATCCCTTTCTCCTATATGTGGAAAAGATGTAACATGAGTGGATTATAATGATATATAAAGTAATGTATATCTAATGCAAATGCATATTACAAGTCATGAGTACCTAAACTTGCAATTTCTCTTCATGGCCTTGGAACCTATGTGCTTTCTTAACCATCTTTGATTTAGTCCTACGTGAACTATTCTTGGTCTCCTTCTTAACTTAATTAAGTTGGCATTTTAGTCTCATTAAGTGCCCTCCTTAACTTAAGTATCCTTGCTCTAATTTGCCAATTTGTTTGAAAGTTTTCACAGTTATTTAGAGGCTTAAGTCTTAAGTTGGTTTGAGCCCATATTGTGGTTTCCTTGCTAATCTCTTCTTAAAGTGATTTAATCAACATTTGAACTACGCCTTAGGCTTGATTTTAAATCCCTTTTTGCCTCCAAAATTTCAGTCCACACTAAGTTTAGCAACAGAATTTCCTGCTGTCAAAAAAAATTCTTTACATTTATACTTAATCTCCTAAGCAAGTTGGGATGGTTTAAACTAGGTATTCTAATTTTCTTTCAATCTCCATTTTAGGGTGACTTAGCCCCCACTTAGGCAGCATATCAACTCAATTTTTAAGCTCATACCAGCCCCTAGAAGGTTGGCCAAACCATGATATTGCTGCAAAAACTTTTCTGCGGCACAGTTTCTGTACATTCTATTGTTTCCTCATCAAATTTTTTGTGATTCCAGCTTAATTTGGTACCTCCTTTTTCTCCTTTCTAAATTTGTCTTAACCAGCACTTGAACCTCTCATTTGACTGGCTCTTAAGCTCATCCAAATCCTAAGAATTTCGGCCTACATGAGGACCAACTGTTAAAAATTTTCTTGTTAACAGTTTGCTGCACCTTTCTTTTAATTCTTCCATAATTTGCATAATTAAGGCGGGTTTTCTATTTTCCTTTACAGTTTCTTCCTAAGGTGGCTTAATCAACCTTCAATCAACTTATGGAAATTGAAATTTTGAGCTCATTCCAGCTCTCAAATTTTCGGTCAAAGCTAGTGCCTCAATGCAGAATTTCCTGCATTATAGTTCAACATCCCCTCTACCTTCTACTAATTACTTTGGTGAAATGGGAGGTTGAACCATGCTGCTTCTTAACTCCCTTCCTAAACTAGCTTAACTATCGTCTAACATACAATTTGGACTTGATTTTTCCCTGGTTAAGCCCTCAAGAATCTCGGCCCAAGAAGAGCTCCTCTGCATAAATTTTCTGCAGCATGCTCTGCCCCTTTTCGAGCAATTTCTCGCTGGTTTATTCATCCCCTTTACTAAATTCTCTAACCCTCGACTCCATCTCCACCCTCCCTCATCTTCTTGTCTCCAAGACCAAACTACAGCGGTATATATCACTATTTAAGCACAAATTTGTAGCAATTCATACAGTATTACTGATTTTAACCCCAAATTCTCTAAAACAAAAAACAAAATCTTGCAATCCCTTTCCTCCTCTCAATTTCGGTTCTTATAGCAAAATTTCCAGCAGGATTCTAGCTCTTCCACAAGTTTTTTTTAAGCCATGTGTGGCGCCCGCCTTGCGCAAACTCCCGATTGATCACGAGATAAGGCCAGCGAGACCGTCTGGCAACCAACAAGACCCAACGATTAATTCTTTTCCAGAATAGACCGTCGAGCCTCTGCTGGTTTCAGCCTTCAGTCAGACGGGTTCCCTCCTCACTTTCTCTCTCTCTATCTCACGGTTTGGCAGCAAAAGTAAAAGAAACCAGCATGCAAATACAAAATGCTAAGCTGGGAACAGAAACAGAGAACAGAGACGGGAGAAGAGATGGTGGGAACCCGTTTTTTTTCATCAAGTGTCGAACATCCACCCTTGATGCTCGACGGAAATACATAATACAAATTAAAGGAGAAGATGGCGGCTTCTCCCCTGTACAATTCGAATGCTATACAAATTATTGGCTCTCTATACAAGGAGCCGTGTAAAATCTGAGGAAGTACAAGTGGGTGAAGCATTCGGTACAAGTGGTGGGTAAATCAAATTGCAAATCAAATAACATTTGAGGGGAGAGGGAAGCTTCAGCCGGCCAATAGAAAGTGCGAGCTTGTCGGCCAATAGAAAGTGCGAGCTTGTCAGCCAATTAATGCCCCAAAAGGGTTCAAAGGATTCATTGAATCCTTTTAAATCTCTACGAAACTGTTAGAAATTCAAATTTTAACCAATCAGGAGCCACTTCAATTAGTTAATTTGAATTCCGGCCAATCAGAATGAAGTTAGAAAAGTCAAGCACTCCAAGCACTTGATTCCCTCCATGTGATGTCACGTAGCATTAATTGCTTCCTCTTCCACTTGCATGCAAAAGCCTTTCCCCGCTGGAAACTTCCCACGCCACATGCTCCTTTGCCCAATTCATACGGAACCATTTGGTTCCTTCCGAATTGGATTTCGTTGGCAAGCTGGCAGCACTTCATTGCACGGGAAGGGAACTTGCTCCATGCAAAGTGCTGGGTTCTCCACTGCAGCTTTTGGTCGCATTTTCGTCCTTTTTTAAACGGATCCGGCGGGTGGACATTAAAAGAAATACCAGTTTCGAGTGAACTTCTGGGCCGGTAGGTTG